CATTGATTATTAAGCTTGGACCAGTGGGGTCCGGTGTTCGGGCCCCACCACGTAAAACCAGTCCCCATGACGTGAGTGGAATCTCAGGTTATGGAACCCACCAGGAGTTGAAAACAAGTGCACACACACACACAGAGACACACACACACACACACACACACAGAGACACACACTCACACACGCACACACACACACACACAGACACACACACGCACAGACACACACACACATGCACAGACACACAGACACAGAGACACACACACACACACACACACACACACATGCACAGACACACACATGCACAGACACACATGCACAGACACACATGCACAGACACACACACACACATGCACAGACACACACACACAGACACACACACATGCACAGACACACACACACACACATGCACAGACACACACACACAGACACACACACACACACATGCACAGACACACACACACACACACATGCACAGACACGGAGACACAAACACAGAGAGGGTGTGAGAATGTAAAAATGTTTTGTAAATTGTGTATTATTTGCATTAATCAAAGCAAATACCTCCATCACAGGTGAATGTTCATTGTAAAGAGACAAGCCCAAAATTAATCAATATTTTTGTCTGTATTTCTGATAAAGGACAGTGCCCATTGATTAACATTTGTTTAATATTTAAAAACCGGTTTTACTAGAGTTATCATAGGTGCTTTATATAACTTTATTAATGGAGGAAAAACACCACCTGTGTCTGACAGCTGACCTGGTATGGAAGATTTTATGTGTCGTCAGATTTTGAATTTTTTTTGCTTGAATTTTTCCGTTTGCAATTTTTAACCCTGAAAAAGCAAGTTTGAATATTTTTATCTTTACTTTTCAGTCACTAAAAATTCCGTTTACAAATTTAAATGTCATTAAAATTTCAAAATGACATATTCACCCTCAAAATATTCAATATATATTTTTTTTCAATGTAAAAATACAGACGGATTATTTGTTCCATCAGAAATTGAATTTTAAATGGACCTGAATTCATCTATTTGAATGTTTTTAACATCTTGAATATTTTTTTTCTGTGAATTTCAGTCACTGATTATCAATTTCCATCCATCCATTTTCTTCCCTTTAATCCATTTCTGGGTCAGGGGGGTGGCAGTCAGAGATGCCACCCAAGTCTCATAGCACCAGCCCCTCACTGACCCTCTGCAGGTGGTGAGTCCACAGGAGGCTGCTCTCTGACTGTGAGCATAGCCTTGATCTTTCAGTGGGGGCTTTGGGCAAAGTGGGGTTAAGTGTCTTGCCCAAGGACACAACAACAGCAGTCATCAGTGAGAGTCGGTGGAGAAGGTGTAGAGGTGGGAATTGAACCCACAACCTTCTGGCCTTAAGGCCAATGCTCTACCAACTGAGCTACTGTTTTTTTCTCGTTGAATTTTGACTGTTGAATTTAACATTATGAAATTGATAATCAGTGACTGAAATTCACAGAAAAAATATTCAAGATGTTAAAAACATTCAAATACATGAATTCGGGTCCATTTAAAATTCAATTTCTGATGGAACAAATAAATCCTTTTTTTTTTTTCATTGAAAAAAAAAAATGAATATTTTGAGGGTGAATATGTCATTTTGAAATTTTAATCACATTGAAATTTGTAAACTGCATTTTTAGTGACTGAAATGTAAAGATAAAAATATTCAAACTTGCTTTTTTCAGGGTTAAAAATTTCAAACTGAAGAATTCAAGCTAAAAAAAATTCAAAATCTGATGACACAAAAAATCTTCCATACCAGGTTTCTTATCAGATATTGATTAGTAAAAAGAGCAGTCACTATGACGGCTTTTAGAAGTGTAATTCGTCAGCTTATGTATTTCTTTGATCTTCATAATATTGTGACTCTTTCTGTATCTGTATGTAACAGATTCTTTGTAGTTATCTATATACATAATTTAAGGAAATATGTATTAATTATAATGTGAGTAGTTATACCTTTGAATCTCAGATCCGTCATGTAAATGCAAACGTAACCTTTTTCCGTCGGTTGGCCAAGTTTAAGTTGTAAATAAATAAATAAAAATGACGAAAAAATTTAAAAATACAAAAACATTTGAACTGATAAATTAATTAGCTTTTACTACATAATTGTTCATCTATATTAACTCTATATTAATATATATTTATTTTTTATTTTTATTTTTATTTATTTATTTTTATCGATCGAAACATGAACCAGGAAGCGGTCACGCTGACGTCACCACGCAGCAGCAGCTCCGTCTCTGACATGAAGAAGTTTGCTCAGTAAAGCAGTGGATTTAAGTTTCCCCGCGGCTGCTCCGGGCTCAGGTAAGCGTTTTGGGTTTCGGTGTTATCTGTACGAACATATTTACTCTGTTAGTCACGTGAATTTACCGCGTTTTATCTGACTTTTCACGCTTTTTAAGTCTACGTTACTTACGCCGTGTTTACAAAGGTGTCCATTCAATGACATGTGTTTGTGCTTATGTGGCAGTGCAGAGCTGGCAGGACCTAAGCAAAGAGCACACACTCACTCTGAAAGTATTACTAATAATAAGGGTTAAATTCTGTCTAAATAAGTCACACAAAAATAAAAATAAACTCCAAACAAACATATTGAATCCAGAAACAAGGGGTGGAAACTCAGATCCAGAAAAAATCCGGACTAGAGCCCATCAGTGAAGCTGTAAAGTCTGAAGCAAAGCCAATTCTCTTTAAAGTTGGACTAAAAAAACTTGGGTAAAATGTTGGTGTTCTAAGATTATGCAGGAATAGTAGCCCAGCAGCTTCTCATCTGGTTTTAGCAATAGTTTATATTTCATTTCGGAGACTTTAGGAAACCATAAAATAGACCAATATTTTCTTGAGGTCAGTTCTGGTTCTGGTTCACCAGGTTTTTCATGAATTAAACTTAAGTGGATTCAAGATTTGACTAAGTCCAGTTTTGAAAATGCAGAAACCAACTAAAACTCAGCTAAAACTGATGCAAAACTTAAATCTTTGGACTTTAGTGAGAGCAAAGTCAGAACCCGAACGAGCACAATCTGATCCGATCTTCAGTGTTTTCTTTTCACATGATTTGGACCAAATCTATGATAATGGATCGTTTCCAAAGGTACAGAATCTCTAGGCCCACAAAGATGCGCGGCCCACTGGTTGAGAAACACTGCTATACGCCTGTAGCTGAGGCAACACAATCTTAGTACAACACTTGTGACTGATACACAAAGAGAACGCAAACTGAAATGATGACGACAATATAATATTTTATCAGATCGAGATGAAGTGTGGAGACCGGATCATCTCCATCCAGGGACTAAAACCTTTCCTTGTTCCATTGTCGCACACTGAGGTAACATCCGTGTCACATTCTGCCTTCGCACTAGAAAGTCTTTCCTTTGATTATTTGTTTGGACCTTTGTCGGCGGATAGAGCTAAAGTTAGGAACAGTCTGAAGCCCACGCAGACAGAGGCCGACTGAGAATGACCCGATGTGAACCTTCAGCCTGATCCGACCAAGACACAGCCACTCCTGCTGCTTTTAGAGCAAAACACACACAAAACACACACAAAACAACCAAACGCACAACAATGTCGGCTGCAGAAACAGACAAAGTGTCACCGGGAGACTCTGTGTTTACTTCCACCGGTTACAACGTCCTCTTTGTATGATCCTCATTGTTCCTGCATCAGCAAAAGGAAAGTGTTTGGGGACTTTGCAGAAGTGGAACGTTTACAGACGACACAGCAGCGACAAACAGTACATTACTAATGCCATCACTCTTCTCGGCGAAAACAATTTATAACGTTCTCAGTGGGAGTTGTCCTCGCAGCGGAGCGGCGGCAGCTGCTTCAGATTAGTTGCAGAATATTACCACTAAATGATAACGATGATTTGTGGTTGAGCCTCTTCACCTATAGATGCACAGCAGGGAGTACACAGCCTCAGCGTGTACCAGCACCGCATTATCTATACATTCAGGTTATTGGTCATTTGCAGTAAAACCCCCTTGGAATATGTGTGTGCGAGTGTGTGTGTGTGTATTTTCTATACAATCAGATGCAGTTTATTTGCCATTTGCAGTAAAAAACCCACATGTGCCAAAGTCCCCTCTCTGCACCAGACACGTACACAAATAAAACAAGCTAAAAATGTACAGAAAACTATTGTTGCAGTGAAACCGATCCACAAAAACAGTTTCAAAATCTGAGATAATAAAGATATATCTTCAGCTTTATGGTCACAGGTCCAATACCAACATTCACATTCACAGTTTATCTACAACAGATTCTAAAATAGACTTGTTTCTTGAGTTACTGAGACCAGAGCCAGAAACACTAAAATATTCTGTAGTTTATCAGTGCATCTGCCATGTCCCATTATAAATACTATAATACTGTTATACTACTACTACTATCACCTTTGTGCTCACAGTGAGGAGGAGATGGCTGTTAATACGGTCGAGGCCTCAGGCTAATGGACACTGGTGATGATCTTGGGGCCGGTGGATTGATAAAGGCCTTATCAGGAGAGGGCCACTGAACTGTTTAGCCTGTGAGGATTACTGCACTTTCTCATCCTCTGAGAACACTCATCGCTGACTACTGCATGCCACAGATACCTCTCCACATATAGACCCACACACTGTCTATATAGGTTAGGTCTAAGCTAAAGAAATGTATGTGCTTTCAGAGATTATGATGTGGTCGTTACACAGGCTGGAGGAGTCCCCAAAACGTGGGTCAGGCAGGTAACTATCTGTGTGTTGTAGCTAATCTGCATTTTATTATGTAACGAAACAACACAAGGTTTGTTTATGGATGTGAGGGGAAAAAATTGTGTTTGTGTGTGGGAGAAAGTGTGTGTGTGTTTGTGTGTGTGTCTGTTTGTGTGTCACCCATGGGTGCTTCCCTCAGATGTGTGTGTGATGCTGATGCTTCCAGAACATTCCAGGAGACGGGACACACACTCAGCAGTATTCTTACACTCTCCTCATGTGTTTCTGCCTCATCAAAGCTCAAGTGTGTGTTCTGCTCTGTGCACCAACACTGCCCCCTGCTGGACACCACCGGGTATGACACGTCCTCCAGCTCAGAGTGACGTCTGTGGTTAAAGCTGGGGTACCTAACCTGCTTGGCACCGACACAGACAGAGACAGACAGACACACATTTTCGTCTAAAAGCTGATCGTTTGAGTGAGGGTGGTCCTCTCTTTTTCACATCTAAAACTGATCTAAATAATAAGCAGAGGCAAGAAATACATCCATCCATCCATTTTCCTCCGCTTAATCCGTTGCCGGGTCGCGGGGGCAGCAGTCTAAGCAGAGACGCCCAGACTTCCTCCTCCACAGACACCTCCTCCCGCTCATCTGGGGGACCCCAAGGTGTTCCCTGAGAGAGACATAGTCCCTCTGTGTCCTGGGTCTCCTCCTGGTCTCCTCCCGGTCTCCTCCCGGTGGGACGTGGCCGTGAAAACGTTCGTATTAAAACCAGATGAATTTTATGACATTGGGCCATGTATTGTGGTTGAAAAGTTACGTACACCAGCTTTAAAGAGCAGCATCCAGAGTGAAGCAAAAGGAGTGAGGGTAAAATACACTCAAAAGTCAAATATCATTTTCTGAGGCTGTTTCTCATAAAAGTTACGGACCCCATTTTGATTCATGTTCCTCAAACGTAAACATAAAAGACCAAATCAGCTGCTTTCTTTTTGATTGTATTCAGAGTTTTAGACACATTATTTATTATTACAAAAACAGTTTAATATCAGTAAATATCGACGTATTTTCAAAGGTGGTTCTTTCATTTGTGACGAGTGTGTTCGAAGGAAAAAACTGAATAAAAAGTTACATAAATAGTATTAAAGTCAGAATAATACGTGAGAATCCAAACTCAGACTTTGAAAGATGGAGCCGCACAGATCGACAAAACATTTACTTTTGAAGCTGAGAAATGATTTTCTGAACCGAAAAATACAATAAATTATATATTCAGAGAAGAAAATGTTTAGTACAACATTGTGTTTTCAGATCAAAGGCCCAGACCTCTGGTCTTTGGAGGCCCAGACCTCTGTCCTCCACATGGTCTTTGGAGGCCCAGACCTCTGTCCTCCACATGGTCTTTGGAGGCCCAGACCTCTGTCCTCCACACGGTCTTTGGAGGCCCAGACCTCTGTCCTCCACATGGTCTTTGGAGGCCCAGACCTCTGTCCTCCACATGGTCTTTGGAGGCCCAGACCTCTGTCCTCCACATGGTCTTTGGAGGCCCAGACCTCTGTCCTCCACACGGTCTTTGGAGGCCCAGACCTCTGTCCTCCACATGGTCTTTGGAGGCCCAGACCTCTGTCCTCCACATGGTCTTTGGAGGCCCAGACCTCTGTCCTCCACATGGTCTTTGGAGGCCCAGACCTCTGTCCTCCACATGGTCTTTGGAGGCCCAGACCTCTGTCCTCACATAAACACAAACTGACTGCAGTAAAGTGCTAAATCTAACCAGTTTTTCAGGAAGTCTCTTTGTCCTAATGCAGCCACTGTGTGGAGTCGGCGAAGGTGACCGTGGCACTGGGGGGGTCCAGGGGGGGTCCCGGGACACAGACCCCCGTGAGACAGGCAGGTGGTGGTGACCGTGTGACTGATGGGTCAACTGTAATCACTGGGCAAGGTCATTTTAATCACAGAAAAACAATCCGGTCGGAACAGGGCCTTTCTGAGTGGAATTTGCATGTTCTCCCTGTGTCTGTATAGGTTTCCTCAGGTGCTCCGGTTTCCCTAAAAGCATGTACAATAGGTAAAATCCTCCAGCTGTGGTCCTGACCCAGAGCATCACCAGTTCCCGGGTGCTGTTACTACGGCGACCACTGCTCCTGAGAGACGCAGCATCAGCACCTTTACCCTTTACCTTCATCTGAATTATAATTAAAATGAGCAGCAAGTTTAACTATGGGCCATTTACTCAGATTTACTCAGAATCAGAACCAATGTTTGGCCATTTGCAGAAAAAACTACTGTGGAAGACAAACAGGAGACACTGATACAAACATGTTTTAGTTTAGTTTAATTTGTTCTTCTGTCCCTCAGAGGATCAGGACAGAACTCACAACACACACAAGAAGAAGAATAACACAGAACCAGAGGCAGAGACAAAGACAGAGGCAGAGACAGAGGCAGAGACAGAGGCAGAGACAGAGGCAGAGACAGAGACAAAGACAGAGGCAGAGGCAGAGGCAGAGACAGAGGCAGAGACAGAGACAAAGACAGAGGCAGAGACAGAGGCAGAGACAGAGGCAGAGACAGAGACAAAGACAGAGGCAGAGACAGAGGCAGAGACAGAGGCAGAGACAGAGACAAAGACAGAGGCAGAGACAGAGGCAGAGGCAGAGGCAGAGACAGAGACAAAGACAGAGGCAGAGACAGAGGCAGAGACAGAGGCAGAGACAGAGACAAAGACAGAGGCAGAGACAGAGGCAGAGGCAGAGACAGAGACAAAGACAGAGGCAGAGACAGAGGCAGAGGCAGAGACAGAGGCAGAGACAGAGGCAGAGACAGAGGCAGAGGCAGAGACAGAGGCAGAGACAGAGGCAGAGACAGAGACAAAGACAGAGGCAGAGACAGAGGCAGAGGCAGAGACAAAGGCAGAGGCAGAGACAGAGGCAGAGACAGAGACAAAGGCAGAGGCAGAGGCAGAGACAAAGACAGAGGCAGAGACAGAGGCAGAGACAGAGGCAGAGGCAGAGACAGAGACAGAGGCAGAGACAGAGACAGAGGCAGAGGCAGAGACAGAGACAGAGGCAGAGACAGAGACAAAGGCAGAGGCAGAGGCAGAGACAAAGACAGAGGCAGAGACAGAGGCAGAGACAGAGGCAGAGGCAGAGGCAGAGACAGAGGCAGAGACAGAGACAGAGACAGAGACAGAGGCAGAGACAGAGACAGAGGCAGAGACAGAGGCAGAGACAGAGGCAGAGGCAGAGGCAGAGACAGAGACAGAGACAGAGGCAGAGGCAGAGACAGAGACAGAGACAGAGGCAGAGACAGAGACAGAGACAGAGGCAGAGGCAGAGACAGAGACAGAGACAGAGGCAGAGACAGAGGCAGAGACAGAGGCAGAGGCAGAGGCAGAGACAGAGACAGAGACAGAGGCAGAGGCAGAGAAGCAGAGAGGCAGAGGCAGAGAAGCAGAGAGGCAGAGGCAGAGGCAGAGGCAGAGAAGCAGAGAGGCAGAGGCAGAGGCAGAGAAGCAGAGAGGCAGAGACAGAGGCAGAGACAGAGGCAGAGGCAGAGGCAGAGACAGAGGCAGAGACAGAGACAGAGACAGAGGCAGAGACAGAGGCAGAGACAGAGGCAGAGGCAGAGACAGAGACAGAGACAGGGACAGAGGCAGAGGCAGAGGCAGAGACAGAGACAGAGACAGGGGCAGAGACAGAGACAGGGACAGAGGCAGAGACAGAGAAGCAGAGAGGCAGAGACAGAGGCAGAGACAGAGACAGAGGCAGAGGCAGAGACAGAGACAGAGACAGAGGCAGAGGCAGAGACAGAGGCAGAGGCAGAGGCAGAGGCAGAGACAGAGGCAGAGACAGAGGCAGAGACAGAGACAGAGACAGAGGCAGAGACAGAGGCAGAGACAGGGGCAGAGGCAGAGAAGCAGAGAGGCAGAGACAGAGGCAGAGGCAGAGGCAGAGACAGAGACAGAGACAGAGGCAGAGGCAGAGACAGAGACAGAGACAGAGGCAGAGGCAGAGACAGAGACAGAGGCAGAGGCAGAGGCAGAGGCAGAGACAGAGGCAGAGACAGGGGCAGAGACAGAGACAGGGACAGAGACAGAGGCAGAGACAGAGAGACAGAGACAGAGACAGAGACAGAGACAGAGACAGAGGCAGAGGCAGAGACAGAGACAGATGCATAGGCAGAGACAGAGGCAGAGACAGAGGCAGAGACAGGGGCAGAGGCAGAGAAGCAGAGAGGCAGAGAAGCAGAGAGGCAGAGACAGAGGCAGAGGCAGAGACAGAGACAGAGACAGAGGCAGAGGCAGAGGCAGAGACAGAGGCAGAGACAGAGGCAGAGACAGAGACAGAGGCAGAGACAGAGGCAGAGACAGAGGCAGAGACAGGGGCAGAGGCAGAGGCAGAGAAGCAGAGAGGCAGAGACAGAGGCAGAGGCAGAGGCAGAGACAGAGACAGAGACAGAGGCAGAGGCAGAGACAGAGACAGAGACAGAGACAGAGACAGAGGCAGAGGCAGAGACAGAGACAGAGGCAGAGACAGAGACAGAGGCAGAGGCAGAGACAGAGGCAGAGACAGAGACAGAGACAGAGGCAGAGACAGAGACAGAGGCAGAGGCAGAGGCAGAGACAGAGGCAGAGACAGGGGCAGAGACAGGGACAGAGACAGAGGCAGAGACAGAGACAGAGACAGAGGCAGAGGCAGAGACAGAGACAGAGGCAGAGGCAGAGGCAGAGGCAGAGACAGAGGCAGAGACAGGGGCAGAGACAGGGACAGAGACAGAGGCAGAGACAGAGAGACAGAGACAGAGACAGAGACAGAGACAGAGACAGAGGCAGAGGCAGAGACAGAGACAGAGGCATAGGCAGAGACAGGGGCAGAGACAGAGACAGAGACAGAGACAGAGGCAGAGGCAGAGGCAGAGACAGAGGCAGAGACAGAGACAGAGACAGAGACAGAGGCAGAGGCAGAGACAGAGACAGGGGCAGAGACAGAGGCAGAGGCAGAGACAGAGACAGGGGCAGAGACAGAGACAGAGGCAGAGGCAGAGGCAGAGACAGAGGCAGAGGCAGAGACAGAGGCAGAGGCAGAGACAGAGGCAGAGACAGAGGCAGAGGCAGAGACAGAGGCAGAGACAGGGGCAGAGACAGAGGCAGAGGCAGAGACAGAGACAGAGACAGAGACAGAGACAGAGACAGAGGCAGAGACAGAGGCAGAGGCAGAGACAGAGGCAGAGACAGGGGCAGAGACAGAGGCAGAGGCAGAGGCAGAGACAGAGACAGAGACAGGGGCAGAGACAGAGACAGGGACAGAGGCAGAGACAGAGACAGAGGCAGAGGCAGAGGCAGAGGCAGAGACAGAGGCAGAGACAGAGACAGAGGCAGAGGCAGAGACAGAGGCAGAGACAGAGACAGAGACAGAGACAGAGACAGAGGCAGAGACAGAGGCAGAGGCAGAGACAGAGGCAGAGACAGGGGCAGAGACAGAGGCAGAGGCAGAGGCAGAGACAGAGACAGAGACAGGGGCAGAGACAGAGACAGGGACAGAGGCAGAGACAGAGACAGAGGCAGAGACAGAGGCAGAGGCAGAGGCAGAGGCAGAGGCAGAGACAGAGACAGAGGCAGAGGCAGAGGCAGAGACAAAGACAGAGGCAGAGGCAGAGGCAGAGGCAGAGACAGAGACAGAGGCAGAGACAGAGACAGAGGCAGAGGCAGAGACAGAGACAGAGGCAGAGACAGAGACAGAGGCAGAGACAGAGGCAGAGACAGGGGCAGAGACAGAGACAGGGGCAGAGACAGAGACAGAGGCAGAGACAGAGACAGAGACAGAGGCAGAGGCAGAGACAGAGGCAGAGACAGAGGCAGAGACAGAGGCAGAGACAGAGACAGAGACAGAGGCAGAGGCAGAGACAGAGGCAGAGACAGAGGCAGAGCAGAGGCAGAGACAGAGGCAGAGACAGAGACAGAGGGCAGAGACAGAGACAGAGACAGAGACAGAGACAGAGGCAGAGACAGGAGACAGAGACAGAGGCAGAGGCAGAGGCAGAGCAGAGACAGAGGCAGAGACCGGGCAGAGACAGAGACAGGGGCAGAGACAGAGACAGAGGCAGAGTCAGAGACAGAGGCAGAGACAGAGACAGAGACAGAGGCAGAGGCAGAGGCAGAGACAGAGGCAGAGACAGGGGCAGAGACAGAGACAGGGACAGAGACAGAGGCAGAGACAGGGGCAGAGACAGAGACAGAGACAGAGGCAGAGACAGAGGCAGAGACAGAGACAGAGGCAGAGGCAGAGGCAGAGACAGAGGCAGAGACAGGGGCAGAGACAGAGACAGGGACAGAGACAGAGACAGAGGCAGAGGCAGAGACAGAGAGGCAGAGACAGAGACAGAGACAGAGACAGAGGCAGAGACAGAGGCAGAGGCAGAGACAGAGACAGAGACAGAGGCAGAGGCAGAGGCAGAGACAGAGGCAGAGACAGAGACAGAGGCAGAGACAGAGACAGAGACAGAGGCAGAGACAGAGGCAGAGACAGAGACAGAGGCAGAGACAGAGACAGAGGCAGAGGCAGAGACAGAGCAGAGCAGAGAGAGACAGAGACAGAGGCAGAGACAGAGACAGGGACAGAGACAGAGACAGGGACAGAGACAGAGACAGAGGCAGAGGCAGAGACAGAGG